CCGGGCGTACGGCTGCCGTGGAGCGTTAGCAATGCTCAATTGAGGTTGTGATACTGGGCGATATACGTACCAGTTCGCTGGGCAGCCAGACGAGTAAAAGCGCGTATGGAGGCCATTGTGTCTAATGTGGAGTGGAGAGTGCGGGCTGAGGCTTAAAGGTCAAAGTGTTGCTATCATCGAAGTTGTAGCGCCAGAGCGCCACTCAAGCTTCCTCGGTTATGACAACTGCCAATCTGTGATTGGTGGTACCCGTTCATCGGACGATCCCGGCTTCTTCGGCCCTTCGACGCCACTACATCATTGTCGAAAACGTCAACACTTGCTATGAACATCTCACCATATATTCATCAACATGCAGAATGTTCGCGCAGTAATCTTCGTACGATTCGGTTGTTCTCGACTCCTCCCGTTCACGCCATTGGCCTTGTGGAAAGTGGCGCAAACGAGTCGGCTTCATAGGAACATTGTCGGCTTTATGCAATCTCTTCGAGCTCGTGTGACCATTTCGCAAGGTTGATATCCTGAAACTGCCAACGGTAGAAAATTCGGTACTGTCGTGGTGGCTTGATGTATGTTATGCCATGTGTTGACGATCGACATTTCTGTCCGCACCACCAGCCTCACGAAAAGTAGAATTCACTTCAAGATTCTACGTCTGTAGTAATAATCAACATGCAGAACTCTGCACTTTCGGTATATAACCTTATGCACCCTCTCGTTATCTGGGTCTCGTACACACTCTTCTCTATATTCCAGACACTTCCTTGCAGCTCGTTTTGCGCCTGTCATTCCATTGCAATCATTGCACACGTCTCATCCACGGCCTGGCCTTCACAGACTTGGAACTTCAGTAAATCAAATTTTGTGTCAACAATCTCAAGAGTACATGTGTTTGTCTTTCGCCCTGTTTTCCACTTGCATTTGCGTTACTGACCAGACCCATAGATCACTCTTACCTTGACCGTGTCACACTCTCAGGTATTATAAATACACGTCGTTTCGATACGCTTCTTAAGGACACTGTATCATGCCAATTTCGGGTCCGCTTTTCTATTTACTCGGTCCTATCTCACGCTCATGTTTTCGCTCTTTCCTCTTCCGGACGTCGACTCACCTTCACCACGCGTACCATGAAACAGAAGGCACGACGAAAGTCGCGTGTCTTGATCCCACTTCGAGCTCTTCCTAACGCCTTATAGAGAGTGAGATTCAAGACGGCCACTCTAGGATGCCTAATTGTGATAGCTGTTAGCTTGGCGGGAGCATCTGTTGCCAACCCACACTACGTCCGCCCTCTTCTCTCCACCATCGCACTTCGCTCGCACCTCGCCCACATTCGCATCCACTATTAACGCACCATTGTTGCCAAGATTCTGTAAGCAATGTCTTCATCACCTCAGGTCAGTCATCTGCTCTTGCATTTGCTTTTAAATCTTGTTGTTGACAGTCCTCGAGAGGCACACGCCCAGCAAGAGCAGAGTCATTGGAGGTAGCATGATCGGCAACTACGGCAGTCCACATCGCAGTGGTCAAACAGTGCGCTTCCAGACGGATGGTCAGTCTGATATCTCGCCGAGTGTGGTAGAGGCTGGATCTCATGCAAGCGCGTCAACTGATTCATCCACTCCCTCTGGAGGATCACTGTTGCAGCTGGGCTCCGACAATGCCGCTGGCCATTCCATGACTGTACCTCGAGGACAAGTCAACAACCAGATTTTACAAGCCAAGCAGCAGCTTGTGAGCCTTACTTGAGTCCAGAGACATGCCAGGGAACTGTTTCTAACATACACACAGCCGACAACCCCTCAGCGAGCTCATCATATGTCAGCCAACAGAAACGGCATGCCCTCCCTTATCTCCCAGACTCTCGCTTCTCCGCAGGCTATTCAGCAGTATGGTGGTTCTGCTCAAAAGACGCAGTCCAGCAGAGCCGACCACCTCAACAACCCCAATACACAACGTCGCAGCACCCATACTAGCCAGATGTCTGACAACTGGCGTACTTCTGGTCGTCTGTCATTCAACTCAAGCCGTCGCTCATCTCCCATAGTCAATTCTGCTGACACATCTCCACCATTGATGACCGATGTTCCCGAGTATCTAGCTGTACAAGAGATGGCTTTCCGTCAGGGTCAGTCTGACTCAGGTAACTCCCGCAACAAGGTTCCACCGAGCCCTTTCGCGAAGCACCTTGATCATGTCTGGGCTCAGTACTTCAAGGTGGGTGCGGCCTATGGAGGAACGCCTGCCACACCGCCCGTAGCATCGTCTCCCTCACACGACAACTTTGCCTGGTCAGTACTGATCAACCCCACTACACAAGATCTAGAGCACCTCAACGGCTCGATCGACATTGAGTGGGCTCGCAAAATGTGTGTCATGTCGTTGAACTGCATGAAGGAGCTCATTCACGTCGTGCGCGAGCGTCGCAACGACTGGCGCAAGATCGTCTGCGATGTCCCTTTCCCGGTTAAACAGGCGATAGTAGCCTTCCCCGATCTCTGCGAGTACTACGAGGCTCTTCAGCACGACGTTCGTCAGGCATTCGGTAACGGACTATGAAGCGTGTAATAAGCTTCACCTGCACCCCTCATGAAGTGGTAGTATTACTCAAAATACGGAGTCAGGCCGCTTCTCATGACGATTATGACACGCATATGGTTTGCTGATGGCTTTCACTGGGCAATGTAATGTTTACGTGGAGATCCGGGTTTCACTTGTAAGATGTTTCCCCTAAGCAAGCATGATTTTTCCTTTTTGTTGTCATGGCGTTTCATGGTGGGCGTTGGTGGAGTTTCAGCGCGATCTTGTTGAAGGAGTATCCCGGCAGGATCGTCATGTTTCTATCTATGTTCACGCCCACCAATCCTGCGACGTCATATAACGACCCGTATACCGCATATAGAACTGGCGTATAAATCTCAGATATATCGCAGCACACCGACGCACCAGCATGCATAGCAAAAATAATTTTCGATACAATGGCTCAGAAGCAACGACACGTGCCTCAAGTGCTCGCGTCGTGATACTGCCACGCCATATCACGTGGAGACGTGAACACGGGAGGAAATGGCTCCGGGCCTTCTAAGATTCCACGATCTGCGAATATCCGCGTCATTCACATCATATCAGATTTTCATCTCCATCTAATATAGCCGCGTCAAGTCGTGCAAACAGCAACCCCGAAAATGACAGCAACAGTTCCAGCACGTTCACATAGCTTCGATCGTCAGCACCGCCTTTTGCAGCTCGACTGCAGCTCCGACCTGCGACACTATTCGCGCAACCTCGGTCCAGGCGTCCAGGAGCGCATCTTTCAAACAACGAGCGACGCACTGAGGAAACAACTGGACGAGCATCGCGATTTCCTACTTCAGCATCAACAGCAACAACCGCGTTTGGCCCCTGCCTCCGTCGTCAGCGGCTCTACGCCCGCAACTCCTCACGCATACCCGCAACCTCATCCCTATCCACAAGTTTCGCAGCCTCCGCTACAGGTGGCCACCGCACCCCAGCTGGTCCATCGCCGCCCCGAACCTACTATCGTCCCCGGCGACATCAGCACATATCCGCTCGCCCTACGCGATGCTCTGTATTCGCAGAAATTGATTCCACGAGCGCACGATGGCAGAACAGTATACCATGTTGTGGCCAGCAGCAAAAACCGTGATATGGGCGAGGACACAAAGGTTGTAGGGACTTGTGGAACCATGCTGGCAGCAAACGAGCTCGCGGCGCGGTACTTTGTTGAACATTGTATGGGCGATGTCGCTGAAGCGAAGTTTACACAGCTGGCGAGCGGCGCATTGCACTGCGGTGCTGGGCCTCACAATGTGTATGTGCAAGAGGGCAGGATGGAATGATGGGGGTATGCGATATACAGACCGCGGACCCGAGGAAATGGTCTGTCTCAGGTTTCACGGTACCCTTCACAATCTGCAGGGTCAGCTGCCGTCCTGCCGTCTGCCCCTTGCCCAATCCCGCCGGTATGTCTTGACTTCAGGACGTCAAACCACTGAATGTCGGAAGCGCATCGTCATGGCCTAATCAACGATTTGCGGACAGTGTCCAAATTTCAGCGCTACTCTATAGCCAGCGAGCAACGTGACAGCATGCCAAGCTGTGAGATGGGCATGGCCGGTACAAAGGTGATTGTCTTCAGGGTGTGCCGAGTGACAGGAGTCAGACGAGTGCACTGTTTCTTCGGCGCACGCTAGAGATACATGTGCATGAGGCAAGACCAGAAGGAGAAGTGACGGGGCTTTACAATTCTGGAGTTGATGTCAAATTTGGCGAGTATGTATTATTATAATCTATGCAGATGTTCTATGCACACTGTTGCTGGAACAACAGACCTGAATGGGTCAATAAGTTCTTAATCACCTTACCACCCGTTTTACCGCCTATACAACGCTTCCCGCGTCCAAGTTCCCAGTAAGTACGTGTACAACATCCCCTGCATACTGTGTTACATGCCGGCCATACCTCGCGCGCGTGACACAACTACTCAATTCCCTCCGTTCCCAACGCCAATCGCCTTGCTACGAGAAACAGGCCAACAGGATCAAGACGGAGAAAACTTGATCATCTGCATGTCTGCACCGGAAGTCCGTTCCCTGCTCGCACTTCCCAATAAGGCAGTTTGTAGAATTACTATCGATTGCGGTGTTGGTATGTTCCGCAAGTTCCGCCAATACCGGACTCGACTCTATTGTCCGCCCGCAACTTGCCGGCAGGGACAACTAACAACCTGGCATGCGCTTGTTCAGACTACGTCATACAGTGCTGTTCTCGTTGCTGTCGCATGAGTGCTTGCTTGAATAGGTTTCAACGACAAGGAACAGCGCTTACTTGCGATTTTGTCAATCGCTTGTATACCATCTGTCACATCGTGGAGATCACAGATCCAACTTAGCGCAACGGGACGAGCGATCTGATTCTACAACCGCACAAAGCCTTACATACGCCTTACCTCGCACCCACACCGCATACGCGCAGCCATGGCGCCCCCAAACACGCCCTTTATATACCGTCTCTGGCACCTTTATCTCGAACCCTTCTTCGCCCTCGGCGGCGTCTACCACCTCCACTGGGCACCAGCGCAGTACTTCACCTTCATGCCGTCGACGTCGGCCTACCACCCCGATTCACAAATCGCCTACGACCAACTCGCATCGGCATACCTCTTCTTTGCTTTCACAGAGGGCGTGTTGATGCGGGTTGTGGACGATAGGAGGACGTGGTGGTGGATCGTGTTGGGGTTGGTGCTGTGTGATTTGGGGCATTGCTATGCGGCATGGTGTGAGATGGGGACGAGAGGGATTTTAGACTTTGGGAGCTGGAGCGACAAGGATGTAGTCACCAATACGTTGAATGTGTTGCCTGTGCTGGTGAGGACGGGGTATCTACTGGGGGTGGGGGTGCCCGGGGGTGACAGTGTGAGCAAAAAAGGGAAGAAGAGGGCTTAATTTTGGGATTTGAACAGGTTGTTGGCTTGTGAAGTCTTGACCGGTTGACTCTGGACTGTATAGTATCACATGACGTTTGAAGACAGCGTACGTATATTTTCAAGACAGCCAGAACCACATTCTTATGGCCGCATCGGCGACTATGCCGATTGAACTGTTCAGTTTGTCACTAGTATGATCAATGTATCTGACTTGTCAAGAAGATATCATGATCTTGCATATACTGCGGCCGGTTGCTTACGAGGACGGCCGGGTAAAGCGAGAAGTTTCTGTCACGTCTCGGTCTCAGTACAAGGTTGCATGATATCTCGGTATCCTCATGAAACGTCCTACCGAAATGTTGGGGGAGTTGAGGCCGAGGTTTGGAACGCAGTAGGTTTCTCCAACCTTCTCATCTGTTCTCACACGCCCAATTCTAGATGGTTGGTTTGCTGAGCGTCTGCAGTCCACATGCATGAAAAATATAGTAATAGGTGGGGTCAGTGAGCCGCGGGAGAATTTGATGTAGGCGAACATCGGATTGTTCGCGCAATATCGGATTCTGCGCAAATGCCATGACGGTGCAAGGTGCCGAAGCGCTACAAAAAGACTCAACACTTTCCCCGCCACTCCTCATCGAGATGGCACCTTATTCACATGGAAGCTGGAAGCTGCCCGAGCTGAACAGACGGGTGACTGGCTTCGGAGCATTCGGCGCGCACAGGACTGAAGCAGGCTATGGTTGATAGCCCCAACGGTTGCACGAGCCGTAGCCTCTCTAATTGGTGCGCGGGGCTGTGTGGTTTGCGACTAAATGGGAAGCTCCCGCAGCTGTCAGGCTTTGGCAAAGGATGCGCCGGCGCACATTCGTCTGACGACTTGTTTCCGTGGAACTTGCGTAAAGATGATTATCATCGAGTCATTCGCTGCACGAATTGCTGTGGAGAGGCCCACAAAGCTCTGCAACGCGCTGTGCTTGTCCGGTGTGGCTGTACGTCATACCGCGGGGCTGAAATCTTGCAATTTGCGGCCATGGACATGAAAGTAACCAGTACGTTGTCCCTGGCCGTATGTCGCACGCCTCATCAGGAACAACAGCCAGATATCCTGAATTTTCCTGTTCTCCCCCTAGGCCTCTGACAGCTCTTTCTTGCTTGGGCCGCCAACTCGACACGCCAAAGTTAACGTCTGGCTTCCCTTGGACGAGCTTCACGATCGATCGAACCTACCGGAAATTTCACTGCGCGCTCCTACCGCCTCTATAACTTCACCTCGTCTCCTCCGAGCCGTTGTACAGGACCCGCTCCCCCCACCTATATCTGTTTTCACAATCTCCACGCCATTTCTACAACCACAATTTCTGACCAGCGGGCGCCGACGCCAGACTGCTGCCCAACATGACCACCCACGTCGTCTCCCTGTAGGTAACCACTTTCTGCTTATCCAATCGATAGACAGCGCATCATGATTGTTACTTGCAGCTCTGCGCCTTCACCTCATCTAATGTAGTTAGTTTCCTACCGTATACTGTCGATTTCCACGAGTCCAAGTCCAACTCCAACTCCAACGCCCCAAGCCCACCACAACCAGCTCCCCCAAAGCTGAACGAGACCGCCCGCGAGCCCTCCTCCACTAGTGCAGGCAGTGCACGACCAGCTACCAAAAATGCAGATGATGAGCAGCCCCAGAGCCTCCTTAAGCGCGCGCCGCCGACGCATATCCAACTGCCCAAGACGCCTATGAGAATGACCGAGCATGAAGACTTCTTCACCCCTGGCCTGCCCAGTGCAGCCACGCACTTTCCCAAGCCAGCAGACCCCCGGGGCCTGGTACGTAGCGATGCCCATGTCCCTGAATGGGGTACCACCGGCCGGTTCTTCAACCAGCCCATGTCGAGGGCCGAGCCAGCACCACCCGACACGATTCTGGAATACGCCAAGGCACAGGAGCGGGCGCAAGCCCAGAAGGAGCGCATGAAGGGCTCTCATGCCGGCAAGCCTACAACAGACCCGCGATGGGCCACCGAGTACACCGTTGTGCCTGCTGTCCAGGGCAACGGCGGGCTTACCAACGCTCTACGCTGTGCAGTTGACAACAAGTGCATTAGCGACACTATAAGCGTGGGCTTGATTGGCTTCCCTACCGACAGCTTGAACGAGGAGAAGAAGACGGAGATTTACGAGAAACTTGAGGAAGAGCATGACGCTCTCACCGTCTTCGTCAGCGACAAGGACTTTGACGGCCACTACGCCCACTACTGCAAGACCATCCTATGGCCAGTCTTCCACTACATTATCCCCGATCACCCCAAGAGCAAGGCCTTCCTTGATCACTCATGGGTATTCTATGTCAAGGTCAACCAGGCCTTTGCGGATAAGGTTGTCAAAAACTACAAGCGCGGGGATGTCATCTGGATTCACGACTACCACCTGTGTCTTGTTCCTCAAATGATCCGCCAGAAGCTCCCAGATGCACAGATTGGCTTCTTCCTCCACACTGCCTTCCCATCGTCCGAGGTATTCCGCTGCTTAGCTGCGCGCAAGGAGCTGCTTGACGGCATGCTCGGAGCGAACCTAGTCGCATTTCAGACACCGGAGTATGCCCACCATTTCCTGCAGACATGCAGCAGGATTCTCTCAGTCGAGGCTACCGAAGACGGAGTCCAGCTAGAAAACCGTTTTGTCAACGTACACTCATCGCCCATTGGTATTGACCCTCGCGCTCTCGCCCTGGCACGTGAAGAACCCGAAGTTCTAGAGTGGATCACGACCATGCAGAAGCGATACGAGGGCAAAAAGGTTATTGTCGCTCGTGACAAGCTCGACAACATTCGTGGTGTCCGACAGAAGCTGTTGGCCTTCGAGCTGTTTTTGAACAAGAACCCAGAGTGGAGGGACAAGGTTGTCATGATCCAAGTCGCCACATCCACCACCGAGGACACCGAGCTCGCTGCAACCGTTTCCGAGATTGTCACTCGTATCGATGCAGTTCACTCGACCTTGACTCACAACCCTCTCATCTTCCTAAGGCAAGACATTGCTTTCTCGCAGTATCTCGCGCTTCTCTCCATCGCCGACGCACTCGCAATCACAAGTCTTCGCGAAGGCATGAACCTCACTTGCCACGAGTTTGTCATCTGCCAGGACGGCCGTGCGAGCGAAAAGAAGCACAGTCCTGTCATTCTCAGTGAGTTTACCGGAAGTGCCTCGGTCTTTGAAGGAGCCGATCTAGCCGTAAATCCATGGGACTACAACAGCATCGCAGAAGCATTCCGGGTCGCTTTGGAGATGACCGACTCTGAGAAGGAACGGAGATATACCAAGTTGCGCGACACGGTTATGCACCAAACCGGCGATTTCTGGGTCAAAAACCTGAGTACCTATCTAGCCAAGGTCCACGACGAACAGTTCAAGCGCGATACCATGTCCATTCCCGTCTTTCTTCCAGCAACCTTGCCCGTACCTACCAGGAATCTCAACGACGACTCTTTGTACTTGATTACGAAGGTACACTCGCATCTTACGGATCTGTTAACAACACCATCTTGGCAAGCACTGAGCGTGTCATCGTCGTTCTCAACGACCTTGTTTCTGATGAGAAGAACGTTGTCTACGTTATGACTGGTCGGACTGTTCGAGAGACCGAGCTCATCTTTAACCGCGTACGAGGTCTCGGTCTCATCGCGGAGAATGGTTGCTTCTTACGCGAGCCCACCGCGAGTGAATGGATTCAATTCCCCGAAGAAGAGAAGACTGTGAAGTGGAAAGACTCAGTCAAGCCTATCTTGCAGTACTATCTCGAGCGTGTGGAAGGTAGTTGGGTTGAGGAGCGCCACTGCTCTATCATCTTCCACTACAACAAACCCAGCGACAAGGACGACTCTGCAAGCCGACATGCCGGTGACTGCGCGAACCACATTAACGATGCGTGTGAGCAGCAACGCATAAAGGCGGTTCCCACCAAGGACTCGGTTGTCATCGAGCCCATTGACTTTGACAAGGCCTCTGCTTCGCAGTATATCTTCAGCAAATACCCAGAGACGGCTCGACCCGACTTTGTGTTTGCAGCTGGCAACGACCGAAGTGATGAGGGTGTCTTCCGATGGGCGGAGAAGTTGAAGGAGGATTGGAAAGTTCCCAATGTCCAGACTGTTACCGTGGGTGATCGCAACTCGATTGCCATGTCGACATTGCCCAACGGCGCAACTGGTAAGTTTTGTTTTCTGAATGCCCAACAGGATTTTTGCTAACCAGCACCACAGGTCTGCTTGGTGCTCTGAGCAAGCTCTCCAAGAACCCCCGCTCGCCTTGAGATGATTGAGTTGGAGCTTCAAAAAAAAAAGCAAGCGAACACAAAGTCATGAACGGCATGTCTCACACTTTCGATACCCCTCTTACGACATGATGATTGGTGAGGGCAACGGGTGCATAGAGGCATGGTATTGGGACGAAGAGCTGCGCATGGGATGTTACGCATGAATGAATGACAAGCACTGCATAGAGTGGAGTCCGGTTGGTCTTTTCCTATGATAGATCTTTTCTACACTCAACACGGAACCTAGAGTCTTCTTATCAGTCCCGCTCCAAGTGTACACAATTCTGCTGCCCAGATATCGTGAATTATAACAGTAAGCCCTCTACTGATTTATTGTAAGTCCACGTTCGTCGCTGATGGCGCTTGCAGCGAATGGGGACAACATCTAGACTCGGAGCATGCAAAATCATCATCCTGTATATGTAGTAATCTATTCTATGTAGTTTGTCTAAATACTGGGCTGGGTATATCAAAAACTCTCACGTCCATCGCTCACGCTATCTTCTCAACTGTCAAGGAGCCCTCAGCATTGCCTTCTAATGCAACCAGCCCGCTTGACTCAATTTGCTTCTTCCATTTAGTCGACTCATATCTCGCAGTAATGACCGTCAACCTTAGCGTGAAATCTTCCTCGCTGGAGCTCCCGGTGGCTGGTAATGGTACAGTTGTAAAGGTCCAGCGCCCGAACGACCAGTTCAGGATGTATCTTGCTCGTCCCTCTGGTATCTTTTGATGGGAATCCGCCTCAGTATCTGATGACTTTGGTGGAGTGGAGGTGTATAGGATGCCTTTTATCCGGTATACTTCGTCTTTCGTTGGATCCTCGAGGAGTTTTGCTAGTTTCACCGTGTCCACACTACCCTTCCCATCTTTGCTTTTCAGTGTAACAGTAAGAACCTCAACTTCGCTGGAATGGTCATGATCATGCTCATGTGCATGCGCGCTTCCATTCTCTTCGGTGACTCCGGCCAACCTCGCATCCAGCCCAAAGACAATATCCTTATCCACCCACCCTTTCCTACTCTTTGTTCTGGGTATTTGTGGCTCAACCTCCAGCGCTAGCACTGCATCTTCCACATCCTCCAACCGTCTTTCGCTGACCAGCTCGTGCTTGTTGAGTACGATCAAATCTGTGTATCTTGCCTGCATCTTGGCCGTGTAACTTGTATCCTCGTATCCCTTCCAGTTCTCTACATCAATCACGCTCATGACACCATCCAGGACATACTTTCCCGTCTCCCTGCTCAGCCGATTTACTTCCATGGCTAGTGTTGCTGGAAATGCAGAGCCCGAGGTCTCGATGACGATACGGTCGGGTTTTACATCATTGGCGAGCGTTTCGAGGGCGTCGGAGAGCTGCCCGACAAGATTGCAGCATATGCATCCATTGAGGAGTTCCTGTACACCCGATATCGCGGCCGAGGAGGCGAGTGCTGTGTCGACTTTGACGTCGCCGTATTCATTTTTTAGGAGTGCGAGCTTGTAGGTTTTAGGGAGTTGAGGTATCAAGTTCAGGATCAGCGCTGCAAGGCTGTTAGTATGAGGTTGTGATTTCTCTGTCCTTGCTCTCTTGTTAAAATTCAACAGAACGCGCTCATTTCGTGTTGTGGGGGGGCATTGCAAGACCTGTGACTGAAATTTACAACTTACTTGTTTTTCCTGAGCCCAAGAAACCTGTGATGATGGTGATTGGTATCATGGCGATGACAACAATGGTAGAGACGCGTCAATCCGGTCCAGAATTTCAAAGAAGAAGCAACAAAACCCGCAATGGCAAGATTTCTCGCACGTGCAAGTCATGATGGCGGAACGTCCCCCCTCGCGATAGCACTAGTTTCAATTTCCGCGTTGGCGGGGTCTCCGAGCTTCGGATGACGTAGGCGCGCAGCAAGCGGGGCAGCTACGCATCAGGTACACCACCCGTAGCTTCATAACCCCAGCCTGCAATACACGCCTATCAAGCCAGCTTAGCTTCAATACCAAGATTCTGTCACCAGGGACTAGATCTTGATTAACCCATCGCTGCTCCCGCTTCCAAGACCATCATCCTTGCCAGTAAATCAGCTGCATAAATAGCTCTCTCCTCCATTCCATTCAGCTTACAACTCACAACAATCTCATACAACGTCCTTCAATTCCTACTACTGTGATTGCCTATTTATCTTACCTATTCTCCAACAAACAACAACAAACATCATGGACTTCCTCAACAAGGTTACCGGCAGCGGCAACAGCCAAGGCCAATCCGTCAACGAGCAGGTCGTCCAAGGCCAAGGTTCTGAGCAGAAGTCCTCTGGCTCCGGTGGTTTCCTCGGCGGCATTGGCGACAAGCTGAACTCTGCTGCTGGCGGCGGCAAGGAGAGCGAGAAGAACGAGGACTACCTCGACAAGGGTACGTCAACCCTTGGGTTCCGACATGTTGTGATTGCGACAGATGCTAACATTTACTCTAGGTGTCGACTTCGTCCAAGAGAAGTTCATGGGCGCCGGTCCTCAAGATAACGAGTCGGCCGTCGAACAAGCCAAGGACGAACAGATTAGCGACTTCATCCGTGGCCAGTACAAGAGCACCACCGGCTCCGACATTCCCATCAAGGACAAGGAGACCCGCCTTGGTTAAGCTGTTGAGCTAAGGCTTCAGCATAATGAAGGGTATGCAATGAGCCGGCAGGACAGGAGATCCGCTGGCCATGGACTATGACCACGATGATGGTAACATGCATACGATTATGATAGTCATGAAATGAAACAATGACAATACTTCACAAGCAAGCAAGTGTCTTACTTTATGTGACTCTATCAAGATCCATGTGCTTCGTTTGCGCAACGTTGAAACACCATCAGAACCTAAACAGGCATCTTTGCTACACCCTATACAAGGAAGAAACTTAATGGGTGCTAAAATCTCCTCCACGACGTTACTTCCTTATATAGGGTGGCAACACCTTGCTAATACACACAGAACGGCTTTCCGTACGCACCGTCATCAGACGCGTGCTGATTCCATCCATCCCTTCCACCGAGAGCCCGTTCCTCAGCTATATAATACAAGTACATATCAACATTTTACAGTTGCTCAATACCCTCAACAAGCTTGTCGAGACTTGCTTCCGATTCATCAGTCAGCAAGCCCTTCACCATGCGCGACCTACTCAATGTTAGCACAAGTCCTTGACTCCGTCCATCCTCTGTCTTGACGCGACTTACAAGTTCCCCAGTTTACACGCCCCCATACTCTCTTCCAACTCCGCACTTTTGACCCCGGCCACATCGATGACCTTCTCCGGTACCCTTGCCAACCGCGCTACATTCAAGCCGTATGATCGATGACTGATACCCTCTGTAGCTTCATATAGGAAGACGACTTCCTTTCCGCCATTCTGCTCTTCAAAGCGCATGTGTACGTTTTTCAGCTCACCATTGGAGAAGCGACTGGAGAGTTTGGCCAAATGCTGGTAATGCGTGATGAACAGCGTGAGCGACTGTAGGTCCCGGATAACGTAGTCAAGCACTGCTTCCGCAATGGCGACACCGTCAAAGGTTGATGTACCACGACCCAGCTCGTCGAGGATGATAAGGGAACGGGGTGTTGCGGATTTGAGGATATCAGAGGTTTCGTTGAGCTCGACCATGAAGGTTGATTCGCCTTTGAGCATGTTGTCAAAGGCACCCATACGGGTGAAGACGGCGTCTAACATGCCTAGTCGCGCTTCGACCGCTGGAACGTAGGAACCGATTTGGCCCATGATGGCGATTAGAGCTGCAGAGCGCACGTAAGAGGACTTGCCACCCATATTGGGACCTGTTATAAGGAGGGCGCGCGTAGAGTCATGTGAGAGGGAAAGGTCGTTGGGAACGTAGTTGTCGAGGAGTAGTTGCTCGACCATGGGATGCCGACCACCAGTGATGTTGAGCTCAATGTCGTCTGTGAAAGTAGGCTTCACATAACCAGGCTGGTTCGCCAAGGTAGCTAGAGAAAGGAGTGCGTCGAGTGTTGCTAGAGAAGCTACGCAATCTCGAAGCTGCTGATACTTGGACGATATCTCTTCTAACAGACCAATGTAGGCTTTCTCGCATGCTGCCGCAAGTGACTCCTTGTACTGGTCTCGCTCTTGGAGCATGCGCTTGACTTCTGGGGTGTGGAAACGCAAGGTAGTCTTGGTGGCTGAGATCTGCTGCCACGAAGCAGGTACCTTCTTCTCCTCAGGTGCCTTCCTCTTGACCTCGATTAAGTACTCAATTCCAGCAACCGTGACGTAGACTACCTGGCTCTTCCCCAGCTTCGCAGCCGCATCCTTTCGGTGTGTGTTGAGGTCGTCTTCTACAGAGGCGATGCTCAACTTTAGGTCGTTGATGTCTTCCGCCTCATGCTCTTCGCGGAAGAACGAGTACTTGTCGTCATCTTTTGCGGCTCGAGCGTTGATACGCTCTAGAAAGTTGTTCAAATCATCGTATATCTTCGGTACGTTCGAGACTGCTTCGCTTAGGAGTGAGGAAGCGAAACCGCTCTGCTCGGGTGTCTTCGCTGACAGGTATTGGCTTGATATTTCCTGGAGACTTTGCAAAGCTGCCAGCAGTTCCGGCCTTGTACACTTCTTGTAATATATGCGAATGAGCACCTTTTCGAGATCAGTTCTGATCTTTCCAAGCACGAATTTCAGCTTGTCGACAGGTATGGTGTTGTCGCCTTCCTTGAGCTCCTCCACCGCTGCTATGCGCTCTTCTAATTTCTCCTTGTCTATCAGCGGCCGGCCGACCCACTTCCTCAGCAACCGCTGCCCAAAGCGAGTCTTTGTCCGGTTCATGGTCCAGAACAAGCTGCCTTTCGAAGTGTAGTCTGTTTGGTTCTGGTATATCTCCAGACTAGATAGAGTGTTGCCGTTCAGCAACATGTAAGATCTAGCGCTGAAAGGTTGAAAGTACTTTGTGAGATCGAAAACATGTTCCAGCCCGTACTCGCTAAGATATGTGATCATCGCTGAGAGACATATCGTGACATGCTCTGACAATTGATGTACCTTGTCTAGGATGGCACCTTGCTTGTCAGAGTCAACTTCCTGGCTAGACTTCATCTTGCCTGCATAAAAGTTCGAGATGTGACTGTACGCTTGTGCAGCCATCGTCTTCGGCTTTTCCACTCTCTCAACCCGCGACCTGTCTCCGAAAACGTTGGTCTTACTAGCTGATAGATGTTGTATTAGCTTCTCTGTAGCCTTGGATAGATGGCCGACTACAAGAAACTCGGCGGGTGCAATGTGGAGCAGTCGTGTCTCAATCTCGCTGCGCATAAAGCCGTCTTCGAAGTCATCGTAGATGATGTCGCCAGTCGCAGGCTGGACGGCCACCAGCCCGACCTGAACTTTCTCATCGGTACCCCAACCTTTCGCATTGCTCTCGGTAATGCAAAGCAGATATCCGGTCGACTGTACGCCAGCACCTGAGCCCTCAGTAGGTGCCTCCAAACCCTCGACATCGTCCACATAGGTGCCTTTAGTGTAGAGATTGGTGAGCTTCCGTACGAATGGAGCGTTTCTGTTGGTACCAGCCGCTTTCAGCGCTGCTGTCTCTAGCTGCCGCACTACACCAACCTTGTGGTTCGCTTGTATGAGACGTTTGACGTGGACTTGCAGACGATGTGTAGGAAAACTGGCAGATGCGAATCGGTCGAGGTGTGCTTCTGAGGGGTGCTCGTCATATCTGAACTTTCCTGAAATATTGGCGTATAAAGTTAGTGTATGCCTCATACAGTTCGCACACCGCAGGTCTTACCTGGTATACAGACGATACCCAGCGCTTTCGACGCAGTTCTTGCGTCCTCGCCAAAGAATTTGTACTTGTAACCGACCTCCATGACTATGATTGTGTCCAGATGCTTCCGCTTAATGTCCAAATATTGTATCTCCATGGGTGTCAGCTTGCTCGCCTTCTTCGTCGCAACGCTCTTCTTTCCCTTGGTGGGCTTCTGGGGAGGCTCATCCTCCTCCCCGTCCTCCTCACCGTCGCCTTCCTCGCCATTAGCATTGGGATTGTCCTCAGCTATAATCTTGTTGCGCCTCCTTAATTCGGCAAAGCTATCTGGTCGACCCAGCTTCTTGACAAACTTCTCGTGTAGCCTCTCCTTCTGCTTCTGCGAAAGCGCCGCATCCTCGTCGTCATTTTGATGGCTCTCATCCCGTGCGGGAGGTGACGAGGAAAACAGGAACTTGGAGGTCCTATCAGTGATCTTTGGAAGCTTTAATGCAGACGTCTGTCGCGGCGAGTCGCCTTTCTCGAATCTAACGCGCTTGGAGGGAGAGGAGCGATCGGTATCCTGAGCATCGTCTTCGTGTATTGCGCGTTTACGAACGGGAATAGACTGCGAGACCGGAAGGCCATCTTCGTCGTCGTTGTCGTCATCTTGGTTTGCGTCGTTGCTGATAGGTGGAGAAGGCGCCTTAGGAACGGGTTTCGGCGTGGACTTGGGCGTCTGCGACGGTTTTTTTGTGAAGAAGCTGGAGATGGTCGGCTGCGTGGCCTTCTGCGACGAGTTTGGCTGCGTAGATTGACTGCTTTTTGGCGCCATTGGGTGGTTCGCGGGGTTGCAACGGATGGTCGACGTGCTTGTGGAGAAAGCTGGAGACGCGTGAGGCAGGCGACGCGAGCTGCTCCAGATTACATCACGGTGTCACGTTTTCCCATTATCACCCACACCCAGTCTTACTGCCATGTCCCGCACGAGTCCAGCAGGAAAAACTTGCGCCTTTCCTTCAGCAAGACTAGTTTGAAAATTGAACGTAGCTACTATTATATCATTTGACGATCTACAGCCAGATTTGGCCCCGAGACCTAGCTGAACATATCGATAAACGCTCTCAACGAACCACGACTATTACTCAGTTCGTGCTGCATGCAGTTTGCATTCGAAGTTGGACAAGACATTATCCGTCCATGTTTCTCTTTGCTCATACAAACTTGCCGATACGACCGCCGTTATCGACCGCGGCTATCTCCGACCAACAACGGCCCGGCTTCGTTATCTCGAGTACTTCAATTGGCCAAACTTCCCCATTTCACAACTACAATATTACCTGACCACCATCACCGGGCCCGCTCACGATGATGCATTTCCTCCGCTTCGCACGCAATCCCAGCCTTCGGCTTTTGCAGCTTCCCAATTCGTCGCAGCACTTACCATTACAAGTTACTGCCGTGGCTATCATCAGGTACGGTCACAACACTAGATCCACCAAGCCCACTTCGGCTAGTATATAACCTGCACGATGACCCCATGGTTCACGTCTCGTAGCATTGGTGAGCTTGTTCTTCCTCCTTCTCTGCGTCGATACTGTGCTGCTGCGAATATGACGCGCGGATCGCTGGTCAAGTGCTTCACGGGTCTCTTGACGCTGCAAAGTGTCCTGGGTACTCCGGTCAAGAGCGGGGAATCATGGTCTTCCGATTACCCTTCGCAGCCCATTCTGAAAGAGGGAGAGTTGGGTGCTGTCGCATCAGAGAGTGACATCTGCAGCCATATCGGTATTGAGTTATTGAAGCTGGGTGGAAATGCTGCGGATGCCATGGTCGGTACTGTGGCATGTGTAGGCGTTGTCGGCATGTACCATTCTGGTGAGTATTACATATGCAATCCGACCTACCTAGGTACTAACAGCCACAGGTATTGGCGGAGGAGGTTTCATGCTTGTACGAGCACCAAACGGCACATACGAGTTCATTGACTTCCGTGAGACGGCCCCAGCCGCTGCATTTGAAGACATGTACAAGAACAACACAGATGCCAGTATCAATGGTGGCCTTGCCTCCGGAGTCCCTGGTGAATTGCGAGGTCTTCAACATCTTCACGAGAACTACGGTGTTTTGCCATGGGCCACCGTCCTCACCCCAGCTGTCAAGGTCGCAAGAAATGGCTGGAGAGTCAACGAAGATCTCGTCAAATATATGGCTTCCGCTACCTCATCTTCCAACTTCTTGGTCGATGATGTTGAGTTTGCCCTTGATTTTGCGCCGAGAGGACGTCTTCTCAAGCTCAATGAGACAATTACGCGGAAGCGCTATGCTGACACACTCGAGACCATTGCCAAGGACGGTCCAGATGCATTCTACAGTGGCCCCATAGCAGAAGCCACGATCCGGGCTCTCCAAGCCGCCAACGGAACCATGACCCTTGATGACCTTACCAACTACACCGTTGCCATTCGCAAGCCATCCACCATAAACTACCACGACTACAAGCTCACAGCCTGCAGCGCCCCTTCAGGCGGTGAAGTTGCCCTCGCAACGCTCAAGATCATGGAAGGCTACTCCGAGGTTGGCAACCCGGAAAACATCAACCTAACCACCCACCGCCTGGACGAAAGCATGAGATTTGCCTACGGCATGCGCGCCGAACTAGGTGATCCCCTCTTCCTCGACGGCATAGACGCGTATCAGGAGCAGATGATCTCCGAAGCCACAGCTAAAGAGATTCGCTCCAAGATCTCCGACACAAAGACCTTCGACGTGTCCTACTACAACCCTGCTGGTCTCGAATCCCTCGAAACCCCTGGAACAAGCCACATTGTAACGGCAGACAAGAGCGGCATGGCCGTCACACTAACGACAACCGTAAATCTGCTCTTCGGAAGCAAGCTCGTCGTGCCAGAAACCGGTGTCATCATGAACAATGAAATGAACGATTTCAGCATCCCGAACACGACGAATGCTTTTGGGTATATCCCGTCGCCTGCGAACTTTGTTCGTCCTGGGAAACGTCCTCTCTCATCCATCTCCCCTGTTATTGTCGAACACCTCAATTCGTCGTCTATTGCCAATGCTTTCTACGTTGCTATTGGCGCTGCGGGCGGCAGTCGCATCATCACAGCTACCATCCAGAACTTGATACATATTCTGGATGGGGAGAAGACGACGGCGGAGGCACTGGCTGAGCCAAGAATTCATGACCAGTTGGTGCCTGCGCAAGTGAGCTTCGAGTATGGGTTTAATAACGGAACCACGGCTTTCTTGAAGGAGCTGGGAAGCAATGTTACCTGGGTTGCGCCTGGTTCAAGTACGGCGCAGGGTTTGAGACGCTTGACAAACGGAACCTTTGAAGCTGCTGGTGAGCCTAGACAGAAGAACAGTGGTGGATTCGCCGTTTAGAAATGTGTGAGGAGTAAGTTCCTCGTGCTAACTGGGCGATGCCAATGGTTCACAAATAACCTCAAATACAGATGGTTCACATGAATAAGAACTTCACTGTGCATGAAATTCGTGAATGATCTTTAATGTCTCGTTGATAATCTTTTGTACATATGCAACTCGATATGAGCAGCCTGACAGCTTGACGTTACCCAAGCAAACTCGACGTCTCTTACGAGCATCTCCCTTTCATATCACCAATATCTTGTCAAAAGGAATACAACGCCAGAAGTTTTACAGTGCGAACAGAACTAACAAAGGAAAAGGTGCAATATGCATTACCTATGAGATAGCATGGACCACGCGGGCCTATCCAGAGTTGAAACATACCCTTGAGAAAGGTATTGGCTTCGATGTCGCATCGCATCAGGTCATTCTGTACCGATATCATTCATGGCGTAGCTGACCAGACATTATTTTGGAGCGCAATATTCGAACAAAGCGAAAGCTCAAGCAATTTGGGGTAAGCACACCTCGTCTGGGCATCACGGTCAGTAAATCAATGCGAAGGAGATTTGGAGAGATTCATACCAAGATACTGTCGCACTCCTAGAAGCGGGTTCGGTGACTAGGCTTTGAAGGCGTAACAAGAGGAGCTGCAGCAATGTCTTCGACCTGCTTTGCACTGCAACCAACACACACTGTCAGCAAGCACAACAAGATAACGAGAAGTGTGGTGTATTACGTTTTGCTAGTGGTCGTGTGGGTGCAGAAGAATGGTAAATACTAAAAAGTTCAAAAAGGGGTATGATGAACACTAGAGCGCTGTCATGATGCGACTAGCAACTCGCGTCGCAGCCTTGTGCTGAAGAGACCTAACGCACAACTATTTGCGCTGACGTTTGTTTGCTGCATTGTGAGGCTGGCCTTTTCGTTTCTTCTGGGGAGGGATTTGGGAGGAGTCGCTCTTAGCAGATGATACATACCCGTTGACATCCTTATCCAACTGCATATACTCCTCGGCTACGTCCTTGCCTCCACGATCCATCAGGTAAGCCATGTAGTAGTGCGAGAGTTCCTTTGCGACTTCTGGTGAGAAGTGTGCTTTGGTGCGCATCAGCTCGTGAACAGCCTTTATCCGAGTATGAGCCTCTTCCTGATCAGGCGAAGGTTGTGCGACTTCAAACTCAAGGTATTTGACCCAAAACTCGCGCGAGTCCGGGAATCGCTCGTGCTTGTCCTTGAACACTTGGCGAGCCTCATCGACGCTGCCCTTGCATTGCCAGAGTATGCGTGCCTGTTCAGCAGCTAGTATGCCGCCGATGTGGTTATTTGAACGGCCTATGTGCTCCTCTAAGAGGCGGACCGCAGCATCGTTGCCTTCGTGGCGTCGCTCTACACCCGCCAGAGCAACAAGGGTCTCGGTGTGCTCGGGGGCCTCGTCGAGCATGGCCAAGTATATATCGCGAGCAACGGAAATACGACCAAGCTTCTCTTCGAAGCGAGCCCAGTTCAGGCGTATCGCAGGAGCCGAGATGGGTACGAATATGCAACTGGCCCTCATATAAATGATCCTCGCGTTCTCCTCTTTGCCCTGCGAGAACATCCAGCGGGCGTATCGCAGCCAGAACTCGTCATAGAGCGCGCAAGCAACAAGGCAGCGCTCATACAGGAAGCAGGTACGCTCGAAGTCGCCCTGCTTCTCTTCGTACTCGAGATACTTGCGCCAGTTCTCGAGCTCTGCATCTTCGAGCTCTGTGACGTGGAAGTAAGCCCTCTTGATTGTTTGTTCAAAGGTCCAGCGGTTCGTCACGTCCTGCTGCGTCTTGGTGTATTCAGCGTAGTAGTACTCGTGAATTTTAGTACGCAGTTGTCGCTCCACCTCAAGCACTGGCTTCTCGGGCTGTCCCTGGTTCTCCAGCTGAACCGCGTTCTTCATCGTGCTGAGGGTATCGGAGTCGACCAACTCATCGACTGGTCTGTTGTTAAGTAGGACGGAGAACTTTTCGTAGTATCGTGCGAACTGATAGATGGGCAGGTGTAGAACACGGCTGTAAATCTTGGAAACATTGGTTGGCTCTCCGATGCGCTCTTCGAACTCGATGTACTTGTCCCAGAATGGGTGGCTCTGGAAGTCGAGACCAACGAAGTGGGCACCGCGCTCGAACAGACTATTAGGTCAGTATTTCGAAACAAAACAATGGGGAGGGATAGGAAGGGGTGATGCTGCAAAGTAACCTATCATGCCAACAACGGGGCGGCAAGGCCATCGACTCTAGACCTCTGGTGTACCATATCGCTCTTTCGTGGGGCATATTATAACGGGGCAATGAGGAGGTGCATCAAACGGTATGCAGCGAGACTGTATCACTCTGAAAACGCAGCGCCAGACTGCGCACGACTTCCCGCAGGCTACGGCGAGATTGAGCCTCCGAATCGGGAGGGGGTGGGGAAGGGGAGGAAAGGCAAGACTTACTCTCGGATGATGTCGTTGTCATGCGACGTGTCCATCTTGAAGGTACAATAATTGGCCCACAGGTCTACTGAGGGTGTAATGCAAGAGACGCCGCGCTCATAAACCATCTCCGCAGTCTCGGTGCCGCCAATAGAGAATTCGAGGTCGGCATACTTCTTCCAGTATCCGAAGAACAGCGGGAACTTGGTGAGGAAGCAGTCGTATACGTTGCGCACGAGTTCGATGGCGGATGGGCTGGAGTTGCGGGTGACGCCGCCCTCGAGGTCAGAGGCACGAGTGACGAGCGCCTCCCATCTCTCGAAATCGTCTTCATTCTCTACCTGTACATGGTCAGCACGAGTGTCGCGATCAGGTGGGGTAGTACTCACAACTGCGCCGAGGAGCTTGTTGATCTCACCCGCAGCTTCTTCTCCAGTGTAATGTATCTGGGCAATGCTGCCGCGTCCCGTGGCCAACATTGTGTCGCGCGTCAGGTTTGTATCAATGTAGCGTGTCTTGTGGTTGAGGGAAGGCGGGATGCGACGGAGGATGACACGCGGGTGGAGGTGTTGAGAGCTTTGCGACTCGTACCGTGGAAGTTGCGCCGGAGTTCGCGTCGGGAACTTTCGTCAGCGATGCACTCTAGCGCCTTGGTAACGCTTGCCTAGCACGTGCAGCCACCTTCACATCGTCTGCCGCCGACATGTACAATTACACCTGTAAATCACTGAAAACCACCAGCAAGCACAGTTGGTAACTGTATGCTTCGACAAGTTCGGACTTGTGGCCCCAAGCTAAAAGTTCTGTTGAGTGCGCGTGCATAGTGTTCAAACAATCGCAGCATACATCCAGCCCACTGCATTCATGTCGCATCAGTGCAATTGTGATGATGTAAATCTCGCTCATGTTGATTCCAACTACAATGAATTCTCGCAGAGGCAAGAAAGCCGCCTAGGTATCACGTTCATAACAGGGCCACATTGTCCCTTTGACTAACACAGTGCACCCATACCACACTCTGAAGCACCCGTGAATCCATCTACCACGTTATTAAACAGCACTCTCCTCCTTCAAGAAAGGAGCCGTCTCGTTTGCCGCGAATGAAAACGGACTCTTTCCCACTTCAGGACTTCTCGGACTTATAGGTAGAGCGAATAGCCCGTCGTCCTTGTCATCCTCGTCTGCAGGTCCAGATACACCCCGTGATTGAAAGATAGGCGCAGGGCCAGATAGGGCGTTCAGCGAACCCATCATACCAGCGCCTTGCTGTTCTGTGATGAACTGCGGGGGGGCCTGGGCAGCGACCTTGCGAGGCGGCGCTGCTGGCTGAGACTGTGGTTGCTGTGGAGGCTTTGCAGCAAGTGCGGAAGGATTTGCTCCTTTGAAGACGGAAAATGAACTAATAGCAATATCCGAGGATTCGGGCGATAGAGGATTGGAAAAGCCTGGCGTGCTGCTGCTGGGAGTAAGGTCTTTATCGCTCGTACCTAGTCGCAGGCCTGCCAGCTTGTCCATCAGCCGTCCACCGCCTGGTGATCGTGGGCTAGCTGGACCCTTCATCGGGGCTAACATGGGCTCTCCCAGCGAGATACTGAGACCCGCCGGTTTGGCATTTACACCAAAAGTTGATTCGATCCATTCCTTCTCCTGCACCACCATGAGCAGGCCAACGCCTTCGACGTTGTTACGCGATTCGGCTTCAATCTCTTTTTGCAGGACCTGTAGCCTCTTCTTCGCCCAGATAGTGTGCAAAACACCCTTCTTCCCCGCTGCACGCGCCGATGCTCCTAGTTCAGGGGGAAACAAAGCGGGCAGAGGGTTGGTATGCCAGACCACAGGCGATATACTAGCGTCCTGTGGTCGTAGCGTGAGTGTGACACTTGTAGGTACCGCGACTCCCGGGGGCAGCAGGAAGTACATGCGGTTCACGTCGTTGGCAGGTTGATCGTTGGCGGGCAGAACACGCGTGCTGCCGTCCCACGATATGTGCCAGTCTCCCCGCACTCCCCGCGTTGTGTCGTCGTCCTCCCACTCCACCATCAGGATCTTGGTACCGGTTGTGGCATTGCCATGGCCCGCCTCGTATTCGTAGCGGGCAAGCGCATTTGTGCTCGAGATGCTCGGCGACTCGACCTCATCCTTAGCTGGCTGCCGCGTTGTGGTGTCGACTGAGGTGAAGGGAATCGTGGCCGGAGACGCCATTGGGAAGGTGGAGTTCGGACGTTGAGAGCGCGATGCAGGCGGGACGGTACGTCTATACAAATGGGTGGGGGCGGAATACGAGTCTAGGTGTTAATAACGGCGACGGCAAAATGATAGTCGTGTACGGACCCGTATTCGACAGCGTGAGACGCGATGCAGTCGACACAAAGCCTAGATGCATGCACCCACCGCAAACTTCTTCCGACTTGGATGGTGATCTGGAAACGTCGTCGTGCTGGTCCTCTATTGCTGTACGCGTCGACTTGCAGCTTCGCAGTCCGCCCCATGTTCCTCGCTAAATTTAGAAAGGCATCTCTTCAGCAAACAGAAACGAGCGACTGTCGCGCCACACACCTGGGTATGC